GGTAACTGCTTCAAACGATACAAAGATTTCTTTAACCGACATACACCCTTACCATGTAGGAAGGCATTCTTGACGTCTAACTGAAACAAGGGCCAATCAAGATTAGCAGTCAAAGAAATCAAGATACGAACAGAGGAAATTTTGGCAACAAGAGAGAAAGTTTCGTCATAATCAATACGATAAGTCTGAGTAAGCCCTTTGCAACAAGCCGGATTTTGAGACGCTTCACAGAACCATCTAGATGAAATTTAACAGTATACACCCAAGGACAACCAATAGTTTGTTTATTAAGAGGTAAAGGAACGAGATCCCAAGTCCCATTATAAAGTAAGGCATCCATCTCCTCCTCCATTGCTTTCCTCTAACTCGGATCAGATAATACATCCAGTAAATGCTTAAAAATAGATATAGTAGATAATTGGGAAGTAAAACAAGAGAAGATAGGAGACAAGACATCATATGAAACAAAATGAGCAATGGGATGATTAGTAACACACGAAAGAGTACCTTTTCGAAGAGCAATAGGTAAAGAGTCTAAATTACCTAATGTACTAGGATCAGAAGGCGGCAAAGAAGACAGTACGGGCACCTCAGTTGATGGTCGAGGATGGCGATAGTATACACGGAGAGGTAAAGTAAAGAGTAACACAGTGGGCAGCAGAATATCTAAAGATAAGGAAAGAGATGGTGGTATAAGAGATGACCCAAAGTCCAGATCCAAAGGTTGAGAAGGTGCTGGAAAATATAGAACAGATTCCTCAAATATGACATTGGCACTAGTAAAGTATTAGCGCAGAGGACTGTAGCAACGAGATACCCCTTCTGCGTATAGGAGTAACCAAGAAATACACATTTGGTAGCTCGAGGGTCAAGTTTGTCAAACCCAGGACCCGAATTGTGAACATAACAGACACATCCAAAAACCTTAGGAGTTAGGGAAAATAAGAATTTACCAGGAAAAAGGACAGAATATGGATTTTGTCCATTTAACATAGAGGATGACATACGATTAATAAGATGACAAGTAATAAGAACAACATCATTCTAAAAATATCGAGGAATATTCATCTGGAATAACAGGGTACGGGTGACTTCCGACAAATAACAGTTCTTGTGTTCAGCAACATCATTCTATGGAGAGGTATAAGCACAAGAAGTTTGATGAATAATGCCAGCTTTATTAAGATAAACTGAAAAATGATCAGATTCATATTCCCGAGCATTATCAGAACGTAAAGTTCGTATACAACAATCATACTGATTTTTTATTTCCTTACAAAAGGTCTCAAATATAGAGAATAATTCAGACCGAACTTTCATAAAAAATAACCAAGTCACATGAGAATAGTCATCCACAAATGTCAAAAAATAAGGATATTTATTAGATGAAATATTCTTTATTGGACCCAATATATCATAATGTATTAACTCAAATAGACTAAACACGATTATTGACTCTAGATTGAAATGACACACGGTGATGCTTACTAAGTTGACAAGTTTTGCAAGACGAAAACGACATATAGCGTTTCAGATTCTGGAGAAAGGGATGTCCAAGACGATAATGTCATTGAAAAGGAGACAACGAGGTCTGTAGAGCCCGATTAAGTGAATCAAAGTCAAAGTAATATAGGCCACCAACTTCATGCCCCGTACCAATCTTCCTCTTCGTCTTAAGATTCTGAAAGACATAATAAAAGGGATAAAAGGTTACAGAACAATTGAGAGAACGGGTGATTTTGCTAATGAAAAGTAAATTAAAATTAAACTGAAGAACAAATAAAACAGAAGATAGGAACATATCAGGACTCAAGTGAGTAGTCTCTAAGCCTGAAACTTTAGAACAAATATCATTACCAAGAGTAACACTACGTATAGAAGTAGTAGACTGATAAGTAGAAAAAACATCAGACACACCAGTCATGTGGTTAGAAGCGCTAGCGTCTATGATCTAGGGACTGCGAGTGGAGGACAATAAACAAGTGGAAGCAGTACTTGACTGGACAAAAGTAGCAATGGAGGAAGATTGGACAACCTATTGCTGGGATAGAAACTAAGCATACTCCTTTCGTGTAATAGTAACTGACCTAGTGTCTGGTGGAGCTGACCGAGGTACGGAATTAACAACAAAGGTGTAATCCTGGTAGGAAGCCTGATTCGCAGCACCAGAAGGTTTTCCATGTAAATCCCAACAGAACTTAACAGTGTGTCCTCCACGGCCATAGTGAGTACAGGAATGAGGTCCACTACGGCCCCCACGAATTTTTGTACGACCTCCTCAACCACCACGACATTCTCGATGACCATTACTATGGTTATTAGGAACCACAATAGCTAAGCGATTAGTGGAGACACTATGATCTATGCCTGCAGTAGAAAAAGTAGCACGTTGTATACGAGATAAAACTTCAAGCAGTGAAAGAAGACTAGAACCACCCAAAATCTGAGAACAAATAGCCTCATATTCAGGTTTCAATCCTACCAAAAACCTAACAACATTCATGTCCTTATGTTACTTCTGTCAAACTGCTACATCAGTAATAAACAGATGGTAGGTCTTCATCTCCTCACAGACTTCCCGAACATGAGAATAATAATCCTTAATACTTAGAGTACTCTGTTCTAGCCGAAAATACTCCTTACACACCTCATATGCTCGGGTAAAATTACCTGTACCAGAATACATAGTAGTCAAGTGATCCCATATCTCTTTGGCAGCGTCAAGGTAGAGCAGAGTTGAACCAATATTAGGCTCATTGCTATTCAATAGTAAAGAAATAATTTGAGCGTCCTCTTGTTCCCACTGATCATACCTAGGAGTATCTTTCTTGGGTTTAGGACCCACCAAATATTTTTTAAATCCTTTGCCTCGAAGAAAGACTTGAACAAACTGGGACCATAACGTATAATTGATCCCATTGAGTTTAACAGAGGTCATGGGACCATTAATAAGAGTAGGAGGAAGCAAAGATGGAGTAATAGACCTGGTATCTTGCTTGGGTTCCATAACAGTGCAGCAAATAACAAACAAGGAGAGTGCCAAGATGCTGAACCAGAAGAAAACAGGCTACTGGAAGAAAATAGGCTAAACCAGAAGTGTTACACTGCTGAACCAGACAGGCTAAGCCCTCTGAACCATTGAACTGGGCTGTAAAACAAGCTGCTGGAAGATAACAGGTTGAACATAAGAGTTACATTGCTGAACTGGACTGGCTAAGCCATCTGGACCACTGAACCAGGCTAGTTTTACTTGCTGGATCAGTGAACCGGACAGATTAGGCACGTCGGACCGTTGAACCGGGGTGAAAACTGACTGAACCGGTATGAACCAGTGCAGAACTATCTAAACCGGACTACAAACACTCATTGGATTGATGAACCGGGACCGAATCGAGATTGATTCGGTCTAGGCTGGACTGGTCTAGGCTAAACTGGGGAGGCTGGACCCGATTTAATTAGGCCGGGTTGGACCGAAGTGGATCGGGTCTAGACAAGGATCTGGACCTTGTCTTCTTCGTTCATTGATTAGGGTTTCAGTGAACCCTTGTCTTGACTGCACCTCACCACCACTACAAACGGCATCCCACCACCACAACTCCGGCAACCCTGGTCATCGACTGAGCCTCGCCACCACGACGAATGACAGACAACAGCGAAGAACAGACAATGGAGAACGACAGACGACCACCACAACAGTACCACCACCGCCTCTACACTTCGACAAATATCGACACCACAACAGTACCACCACGATGCTTTGACAAGCAACAGTACCACAAACAGACCACCACCACCACACTTCGACAAATATCGCCACCACCACAGTACCACAAACAGAATTAATTTATTCAGAATATATTTATGATCGTAATCGTTCTGATACCATGTTAAGTGTGGAAAAAATTAACACAATATTAGAGAGAACAAAAAGAGGTTGAAAACTTAACCTAGCTCTCATACATCACTTGTATTTATAGTTAACTCACAATAATAAGAATTACACATACACCCTCTTACTATTAATAATTTACACATACTACCATAATATTCTTAACATGTCATTATGGAATAAGTTATTTGAGGTAGCAGACCACTCTTGGGTGGCTCCAAGATTCATGTCAACTATGTTTTGTTGCACTTTAATGGCTTTAGAAAAAGTTACACAAGGTACTCTTTGGGACTTGGCAATGTTTGCCATTATTTGAGCGATTTGGTTGGAGAGGAACTCAAGAATTTTTTAGAATAAATTTGAGGTGGTTGAAGGTTTATGACATTGAATCTGTTTCTTCACATCCTTTTGGCATCGCTCTCTTAAGGAGTTTTTGTTAAAAAAAAAAGTGTCCAAGTATGTTGAAAATGTGTCCCTTTCTGGCATCTTGGCAAGATGGGATGTTTAATGCGGCTATTAAAAGGCCATACTTTTTGCTCTTTCTGATTTTGTGTAGTGTTTATATGGTAGTTTGCTGTAGGGTTCCGCAATTTGTCCACTTTTGCTCACCTTCTGTACTACTGCTATATTATAATAATTAGATCTTTGTTTCCTATTAAAAGAATAAATTATTTGTTTGTTCTCATCCTTCATCTTAATAATTGCTACCAAATCTGCAGCTCGCAAACTGCAGTTTCCCGCGATGGAGGCTTGACAGGGCTTGGGAGTAGATTGATTACAGAGAAAGTAAGTGGCAGTGGTTACACAGGGTGGTTCCTGTCAAAGGATCATCTCCAAGTGGGTGACATGGTGCGGTCCAGAAAGTCATCAGGCTCCTGCAAACCCGAAAACATGGATGTCCCTGAAGGGACTGTAGTTGGTTTAGAAAGTGACACTGATCGAAATGGGTTTGTTTTAGTGAGGGTACATGGCATCCACGACCCAATAAGAGTTAATGTATCTACATTAGAGCGAGTAACATTTGGGTTGGCAGCTGGGGATTGGGTACGTTTGAAGAAGGAAGACAAGAAGCACTCACCAGTTGGTATTCTTCATTCCATTCACCGTGATGGAAATGTGACTGTTGGATTTATAGGGGTTGAAACTCTATGGAAGGGCAATTATTCTGAGCTCCAAATGGCAGAAGCTTATTGTGTGGGCCAGTTTGTGAGGCTGAAGTCTAACATTTTTAGCCCTCGATTTGAATGGCCTCGAAAAAGAGGTGATGAGTGGGCCACTGGGAAAATCTGTCAAGTCTTACCAAATGGGTGCCTCATTGTCAAGTTTCCTGGTAGATTGACATTTGGAGATGAAACTAGCAACTTCTTGGCTGATCCAGCGGAAGTGGAAATGGTTTCATTTAACACTTGCCCAGGCATGGTGAAGAAGTATCAACATCTGGAGGATTTTCACTGGGCTGTGAGGCCACTTCTAATTGCATTGGGTTTATTTACGGCCATGAAGCTGGGATTTTTTGTTGGGAAGGAAATGGGAAGGCCGAAGATGAATAAGGGACGAAGTTCGGTGATGCAAGCTGATGGCCAACATTTCGATGGCCAGACTGCTGGCAACTCGGCATGGCTTCCTCCAAAGGTGGCAAATATCATTTTCAGAGAAGGTGTTACTACACCTACCTCTTGGTAGTTCTGAGGCTCTGGTCAGTCCCCCAAAGCAATTGAATTTCGTTAACTTTTTTATATACAGAACTGCATCCTGGATCTGTCACTTTAGCTTTGTGAGTTGGATAAACTATTTCTGTTCAGTTACATTTGATACTGAAACTCAGAAGAACAAGTATGTATATATTGTAAATAGATGGTTGGCCGTAAATCTACTGCATGATTTATATATGCTTGTTTAATGCTCACATGTATATATTCCCTCGATACCTTCTGACATAGAGAAGGAAATCTGAAATCAATACTGAAAAAAGTCACAGATTAGGATGCAGTTTGTGAATCAGAACTTTTATTCCCCAATTTGTCTGTTTTCTTGGGGTGTACTCTCAAAGTAAAATAACCTCCCAATTCATCAGATTGCCTTGTACATTGTTGTTAAGCCAAAGGTTTGGTATCCAAGTTGAACAAACAGATATTAGAAACACAAAAGGCCTTGTTTGACAGTGTTTTGTTTTTCTTTTGTGGGGTTGGTGGCTCATTGTTGAGGTGATAGTTGCTTAGGGTTACTACTGCCTTTCAAGGTTGACGATTTAGCTTTGCACCGGTTTAAATCATAAGTTCATCACTTGAGATGGTTTGGATGGAGGGTCCCTGTAGGCTTCCTGTAAATCTTTGCAGTTACATGGAAGTTTACTAGATTGTCACTGCCAGAACTGATGTTAACCCCTGTAATCTATCCAGAAGTGAGGCCCTTATTATTACTTTTTTTCAATTGTCAATTGTTGTGTGATCTTGTTAGGCTTTCAATTCGTTGAATATGATGTGTTCTTCAAAACTGTAATGACGGAGGCATCCGATTTCTGTAACCCACAAAAACAATAGAAAACTCTCTGGCGCCCAAATAGGCGTAAGCTATGGTGACTCTAGAATCGAAACCATTAGGGGTCGAGTTCATCATGGCAAGCTATTCTCAATTCTTGAAGAGTTTTGGTCAAGTTCTTGAACTGGTTAATGCATTTATATAAGACATTGAGGTACATATTTGCTTGATGTTGAATCTCCTGTATTTGTAATACGTAAGTAGGTATCCTGCCAGAAAATATATATATATATATATACACACACACACACACACACACAGAGAAATGTGATCACATTTGCCTAGATTCTTTGTTCAGTTCCCTAGAAGTTTGAGAGAAGAAAAGGAAAATAAATTTTAGGATGTCTCTGTACACTATGGGTGGTCTTCAAACAGGGAATGTCTCAAGAGTTGGGCATTTTGAAAAGTTTTCTTGCCTAACTTCTGAAAATGGGAGTTTTTTACACCTCTGACAGTTTTCATTGAGAGAATGAGATCTAGGGTGTGTTTGTATCGTGTTTCAAAAACATGTTTTTTGTTTTCGGAATTCCAAAAAAAAAAGCAAAAACATGTTTGGATTGAGAAAACGTCTCAAGTGTCTTTGAAAATTCCCAGCAAAAAGAACAGAAATTTGGGAAACACCCAAAAGGTGTTTTGAGTTCAAAATTGAGGAAACAACAAAAACTCAAAGATAAGACAGTATTTATTTCAATTTTACAAGATAATACACTTATAGAATCAATTCAGACTCAGAAGTTATGTGGGAAGAATAATATGTATTCTATTTCCTATTCATTTTTTTTCCTCTCAAATGTAATAAATTGTATCACCAAAAAAACAAAACACAGTAATTGATAAATATGAAATTGTTGAAATCCTTCTGCCTTAATTAAACCTTTCTGATTTATGGAGAAATTACCCAAACCTTTGAAATCTTCCTTGATACCAAGAAAGTTACTTTACACACCAATCATACATCATATGCACAGAGCAACTTCTTAGTTAATATTTCAATATTTATCTGCAAATTGTACGTTCAAAAGCTGTGCTGAAGTTGGTGGGAATTTACGTGGATTGTTTTATGGATAGCAAAAGATGATCTGTAGTAGGAATTTGTAGAAGTGTCTCTTCAAAGGTGGAGGAAACATGAATTGCATAGAAAATATAAAGCGAATGTTGAGAACTCCATGTAGTGTCATAAATGTGGGAAAAAAAACACTTTATTAGAAGCTAGGGACTTTCTTCCTCTTCTTTAGTTGGTGGAAAATAGCCAGTAAGATATATATTATTTATTTTCTAGAATTTTGCAAGGTGTAAAATACAAAGGCATGTGGTTTTTATTTCTAGAGGCTTTCAAAAATATTTAAGTATTTTGTACGAGGTTAACTTCCAAGATTTATAATATAACTAAATTCACAATCTATTTTAATTAAAGAACGTAATATAAAATATTTGCATAATCACTACAAAAAGTGGTAAGACCATTGAAGTGGCCGTCTAGGGCCCCCACCATTATAAGGGCCCGATTTTCAAATAAAGATCCATAATATTAAACACATAAAAAGTCCATTGAAAAGATGTAAAATTAATTCTCAAAACAAATGAAAAAAATGAGTTATTTATTCCATTAAAGTGAAAATAAGAATAAGGTAGTGATTATGTGATTTGATAAACAAAAAAAGTTCATTTACAATTAAAAGTTACACGTTGTCATCATTTATTTATAATAATTGTGATATTCAATGGATCTAACAATATGATTAAACTAGATATAACCCAGTGCTATAGGAAGACATCCTACAATATCAAAAATCAAATATTAATTATATAATAAATAGTAATTTTTTTAATTATGTAATTTAAAATTAATGTGGATAATAGGAAATAAGATAGAGGTAGGGGAGAGAAGATAGAGATAGGTGTGGATTGGTAGAGTTGTTTTAAATTTCGGGTGTGTTAGTTGAATTTTTTGATATTAGGACCTGTGTAAATAAGATGATATTTTTGGACAAATTTAAAAAAAAAAAATTAATCTCAATCAATCGTGGTTGTTCTTTTATAAATATGCAATTCCAATAGCTTAGTGTAATACTAGATAGATAGATCACAATTTGATTTTGGGCTAGTAGTTGAGGCCCAAACAATCACTTAAGCCTTTTTGTATATTTGGGCCTCGCAACGAACTCTAGCTTAGCCCAATCCAGTGGGATGGTGTTGGAGGTATTTGGAACGCTTGCATGAGGTTCGTCGTTTGCTTTGGCATTTGCAACTGAGGCCAACCATTTTTGTGTTTTACTCAAAAAAAAAAAAGTATCATTTTATTGTATTTGTATAGTAATTGAAGGCAAATAGAATATCCTTGGAGGGGGGGGGACCAACAGCTCCATAGCATTTCATCGCTTACTACGCCCCCAACTCAGTTGCACATTTAGCAATGTAAAATTCTCTTTCAGCAGTCGAATATCCAATTCAAAAGAAAAAACGGAGTGGACAAGTCTGCAGAATCAAGAAAAAACATGCACGTAACTTTGTAAAACATAATAAAGAAGTTTGAAATCACATTGTCATATACGTATCGTATATATATTAGATTCTAATTGTTCTTATTTGGCACGACAATGTCTTATTGACTAGACTAGAGTGGTATGGGGCATAGTTATTAGTATGGACAAAATGTCTCTCTCATAAAATATTCACCCGAGATATCATAACACACTATGTTGTTTTTGTTACGTGTGATGTTTATATAAAATCTAAAAGGATATACCTCAATAGTAGAGTTAATTACGAAAACAATTTGACTATTGTGGTAAGTTGTAGAGACGAAAATTCATGCCAACTCATGTCAATTTGACTGCAACATCCCACAATTATACATACTACTATATAGGACAACTCAACATTATACTGGACCACTTGTGCTTGTTCCAAAAATAAAGCATTATATTTTTTTCGTCACGTTGCAAGAAATTTGTCATTTATTCTGAAATTTAAAAGTTTGAAAAAAGAAGGGAGAATTGACACTTGTTAGAATTTAAAATGACTTTGAACTTTCTCAATAAAGATTCAGAAAAATTTAAACGCACTTCATATATATCAGTATACTAGTAATAGCCTTAATTTATCCTGTAATATTTATATTTTAAATAATAATTTAATTTTTTTAATTATTCAATTTAAAATTAAAGTTAAGAGAGAAATATAAATGTGAATTTATAGGATTGTTTGATATTGGAGAGTGTATTGATAGAACTGTTTGGTATTTGAATTCCTTTTTTTCTTTTTTTAGCTCTAGACAAAAGATTGCAGCACTTAAGACATAAAGGATAGATTACAATACCGAAAAATTAATTTTGGTATCTTAACTCCTTTATTATCCAATAATAATGCGCCACATGTAAAACTTTTGTATTCTATTATTTAATTTTATTATTTTTATGATTAACGATTAAAAATAATTTTTTGATATGGTACCTACCTTGTCCAAAACATTTATATGATTCAACAATTTGCATGTTACCTTCTCTCTCTCTCTCTCTCTCTCTCTCTCTCTCTCGGCAAGCATAAAGGTGTATATTGCAAGACAATAGAACACAAGCGAAGAGAAAATACAAATGGAAGCAAACCGAACAACAAAAGTAGGGGGCCAAAGGTACATGTTAAGCTATTCTTAGTCTTCTTACATCTTTTGTATTCATTGATTGAAATTTATGCATTCTCAACAACAAAATTAGTGTCCCACTTAAACTAGTCATCTCACTTCAAATGGGAAACAAGAAAACAACCAAATAATTTGTCTGTTAGCAATTATAAATACCGATGTAAGTAATTTGTCGATGATTGTGTCTATTGGAAGATTACATATTTTGAAAAGTCCGAAAAATACATGATTGATATAATTCTCTTGATTAACACTCGCTCTCAATCATTAAAATTTGAGAAATCTTTTATAATATCACATTCATAGTCCGTTAAACAAAATGGGTAATTAATCTTTTATAATGGTTTAGTAGTTGACTCTAATCTTTGATAACTAAAAGGTCTCAGTTCAAGCTACAGTGACCAGTATTTGAGCTCAAGAAAACAGTCGGTGTAAGTTTGGACACTCTCTAACCAAAAAAAAAAGAGGATAATTTATAATATATACCCTTAAAGTTTGTATTTGATTTCTATTTCACCCTCGAAGTTTCAATTGTAACAATTATATCCTTGAAGTTTTTACAGAGTTTTAGTTTAGTCGTTCCAACCAAATCTGTTTAATTTGTTTCGATAGAAGGACGTCATCGAACTTGTCCATAAAAGATTATTTGTCAAGCAAAAAAAATTTCTCTTAGATATATTCATATTGCTCTTAATATTTTGCAGTATCCCTTTTTTTCAGTTTTTTTATTT